CACAAAATAATTACCCAAGGGAACTTTACCGATCTCCTGAAAACTTGAGAATTAGTTCAATAACACATGGTACAAATACAATCAATTATTAAGCAAATAAAAATTGTCCCAAATTAATTAATTAGATCTGTTCAAAGCCAAGTCAGAACTAGATAAAAGTAATAAAAATATGATGTATAAGGAAACCTTTGGATCAAAATTTAATTAAATATTTACATTAGTAAGAGTGGAAGTGCAGTTAATTTCAAAACATATTTATAATGAACATTTTTTTTCTTCTTCCACTTATTGGAGTTTGTTATCATCATAAGGCTAACATGACTTTTGGTGATGTAGGAGGATTAATGATCCAAAACAAAATCATAAACATTCTTTTTGACTTAAATATTAATTATGAGCTAACAATAATAACTATGTTATTTCAATATTTGAATTAAATGTTGACTAACACGTAATACCAGGATAATAGAAATAATTATTCAGATTAAACAATAATAAAATGGAAATAATCAGCTTTTATAAAAACAAAAAATTAAACAGTAAATTATAAATGGAAGCATTAAGTTTGCATGTTATAAGTAAAATCACAACCCTGAAGCTTATCTCCTTTAAAACTACAACCCATGAAGGGTCTTGGGTTCCATAGATTGTAAGAAATACTATTACAAGGTCATGAGTTGTGCAGGGCAGTGATTGGGACAAAATCACCCTCAATAACCAGGTTTTTTTTTCCCCTTAACTAATAATTTAATTAAGAGTATTTTATTTTTTTTTTTTATTGTCTCTCCTTCGTCGCCTATTAGGCTATAAGGAATTTTTCGGAACCACGGGGTGAGGGCGGGGGATCAACGCCAAGTTAATAGAAACCTTGGCACTGGGTTGCCAACTCACAATAATTTTATAGTTTATAACTTTTGTTATCAGGTGTCTGACAACACCACTCTGTGCTGTGCACATGCGTTAGATCGCTTGGCCACCCTGCCCTGCAAGTATTCTTTATAGAGGCTGAGTTTGCTGCCTCAGGAGGGTCTTCCAACCCCAAGATTGAAAGCTTGAAAGTCAGTGCCTTACCCCTAAGCTATCCCCACTCCTTTATTTCTTTCGACACCTTTTAAAAATGTAAATGGTTCATATTGAAAGAATCACATCTTTAAGTAAGCTTGTCTATGACATGACAAGAAATTTTGATTATAGCATGGCCCATGACACAGCTTAAGTACGCTATTGTATATGAGTATGCAGGGGTGTCCAGAAGACATTTTCGGAAGAGCACATTTTAATCGGAATTAATACTGAATTTTTGGGGTAGATCAATATTTTTGTGGGGTTCCAATTTAAGGTAATTTTTAAATCATGGAACAAGGAAGAACATGATTATCAATTAACTACAACTACAATTTTATTAATTATGCTTTCACTTCCATTGTTTTTAGGAGAGGAGCCGCATGAAATTCTATAACAGTGGAGTCAAGAAGGTATTACGTGGCTTTAAACAAGGATAGTTCATATCGACCAGATATTGATTGAAGGCAATGAAGTTGACAAATAACTAAATGTTGATTATAAATCAAGGCCTAAAAATAAATAAAAATAGACTATGGTAATAGAAGAGAACCTAGAGAACTGAAGCAGGGTGGTTATGTTTATTGGGTACTTGTGAGCGAAGTGGTCTCTGGTAAACCTCCCTTCTTATCTTATCTTACGTCACCTTCTTAACTTATGTTATGTTACGTCACATAACCTGCCTTTTTATCTATTGTGTGCTGTTGCATGTGCGTTTATTGATTGAACTTTCTTCATTGTGAGTTATTGAAATGGATGTTATTACATTGTGGGAATTGCTGTCTTCAGAAGAAGAGGCTATCAAATATTTTCAAGACGCCAGGCTAATTGCGAAGGTGAAATATGGTGATGGTCATGAAATGAAGTTTGACGGGAAGACGAAATCAAGATGCTTTCATAAGGGTTGTAAGAAAAACATATCAATAAGGAAAGGCACGCAGTTAGAGGGGTCGAAGATTACCTTTTCAACGGCTTTAAAAATTAATTTATGGGCGATCTCATAATTTAACAACAATAAAGTGGGCAAAGAGCAACTGAAACTATTGAACAAATTTTTAAGAGAGGTTTGTGCTCGTAACATGTTATACAGGTGAACTAAGAAAATTGGAGGGCCTGGGAAAGTGGTAGAAGAAAGCGAGTTTTTTTTCAAAAAGGCAAATCATGTAGGGAGAGTTCTCCCTGAACAATGGATGTTTGGCGGAGTTTGTCGAGAAACAGACGAGTATTTCATCGTAAAAATAAAGGGAAAAAGAACTTTATTAAAAGTGTAATACAAATAATATAGAAGAGGGAAGCACCATTTATTCAGATTGTTGGAAAGGATACAACATCCAACAACTAAATGAAGCAAACTATAATCATTTCCAGATGAATCGCCGTTATAACTTTGTTGTTCCATCGACTGGGGTCCATACTCAACATATAGAACATTTATGGGGCTCAGCTAAGTGGAGAAATAAGAAACATCGAAGAACTGAGAGGCAACACCTCGATTCATATTTATGTGAATTTTTGTGGTGGCGGGCTCACACAGAAGAGGACCCATTACTCGCTATTTTAAATAGCATTAAGCTATTTTGCCTTCCAAAATAAATAAATCAAATGAATTATGTATGTTGTAAAATTGTTGTTATTTATATTTCTTAGTTTTAAATTACTATATTATTATTATATTTATATTTCTTATTAATATATATATGTATATATATTAATAAGAAACAGGCAAAAAAGCGGCAACACCAAATATATTTATATTTCTTATTATACAAGAGTCTAATTTCATATGAAGACAGAGATTATCAATGCCTTATCACAATTATCAGTGTTTAGGTTATAAACATTGGCAGATAGCAGTCCATAGAGACCAGGTCCCTCACAAGTACCGTTTATTGTTTAGATTATATTTAGATGGACTTACGAAAAAAAGGTCGAGAATGTTACAGATTAACATGAACCCTCCTAACTACCCACACAGGTTAGAATAGGTTTTTTGGTTGTACCTCTATAACAACCCTAAATGCCAGAAATAGAGAGATAGGGGGTAAGAAAAAAAAAAAAAATAAAATAAAATAATAAAAAATCAAGAGGCGATATAAACAATCTTGATTTGTAAATAGAAATCATTATTTTTAATATGACGTTCTATTCTACAGAAACACAATGATGATAAAGAGATTAAAAAAAAAAAGAAAGAAGGTAGTAAAATAGGAAAAAAAAAATTGGATGAAAATTCCATAAAGATAATATACCACAAGGCTGTTTACACCTGTCACTACACTAGTGAATGAAATGTTTTTATTATTGAACGTTATTATTTTATAAAAATACAGTATAAATTAAATTTTCAGGCAATTTTCCTTTTACAGTTTTTATCTTAGTTGGATATATAATAACTTAACTAGGTAAAAAAATATATAAGGACTCAAGTAAATTTTAAAAGAGTTCAGTTAGCTAAAATGAAAATTATAGAAATGCATATAATGATAAGTTTCAACAAGTATTTCACTTTCAAGAATATATCTCAAATTAAAAACCTATTTAAGTCACGAAACGAAACAGAAATGATAATAAGATATTCTAGCCAACCTTTATTTCTCCTGTTCATTTTTCACAAACACAATTTTTTGTTCTCTTTTTTTTTTTTTTCTTACTTACACATTGATAATGATGAGATAATCCTACAGACATGAGGCGATCAAATACAATGTCTTATTGTGTTTCTTTCCTTATCCCATCCCTACTTTATTAAAATTTATGGTATGAGAAGTTTTTGACGGTTACAACAATTTCATTTATCACACAAGGTTTTTTCATCATATAATTAATACTGAAAACTGTTTTGAGTTTCTTATGAATTCAGAATGTGGTATATTTGTGTTAACACTTTATTAATATAACCCTTCTCCCCAACTTCATTCTGTATGAAGATATAGATTGGGGTTGGTAATCTCATAGTTTGTATAATTTATTTTCAACTATAGTGTAAATTCTGATACTAATACACTCTATGATTTTTTTTCCTTTTTGTCATCGATTGCATAAGTTTCAACTGAATATAAATAATAATAATATATATTTTATATAATGGTGTTTATTCACAGCTTGTTCATGATCAAGTTCGAGTTAGTAATTTCTATTTATTCCCAAAATAAAAACACCACTAATTATATCGTAGAGGCTCTCTTTTAATTTTATATTATTTGTTAACTGCAATAGATTGGTCTGAAGATGATATGGAGAGATACTTAAGTTTGACTAAATCTGCAAAACCTTTGTCAAAATATCTTTAGCACTGGTAACACCCTATTCCTATTAACTAAACAAGACCATTTCATCTTATTGCAAAAAAATCAAAGAGAATCGTTAACCAAATTAAAAAAACAAAACAGATTTAACTTATTAATTAACCATTACTTCTTTGATAAGCCTTCAAATAACTTAAAAAAATTTCAAATCAATGACATGTATTCCAATCAATGGGCGAGTACGTATGTTATTACATGAATACAAATTTATTACACAATCATCTTTATAATGGAACTATTTAGTTTCTGGAAAAATTAAGATAGGAGTATCAATGTACAATAGAAAATTATGAACCGAATGATAAAACAAGAGACAAAACAGAAAAAAAAACTCATCATAAAATAACTAAGATAAATGAATCATTAGCTTAAGTTATTTTTAAAAAATGGAATTAATGGAAAACAGATATTGCTAAAAGGATTACAGAAAAATTTGATCTTAACTATTAGCATTGAGATAAGAGAGATTTATAATAATTAAAGTCATTTGAATTCCACAAGGATGGCTCTCAGTCTAGCAAATAATAGCTTGATAATTCTAAAAATGAATCCACTAACAGGATAAAAGAAACAATCAATACAGTAGTGCTGGAAATGAGCAGGAAATAATACTAGCTTAAAGTAATAAAGTACCTTCATAATGTTTCGATTTGTAAGAATCTCCGTAGTGGTCTGAAGCTGGAGGCGGTGGAGCACTGTATCCACCGTAATCACCACCAGCACTATCATATCCAGAAGATGACATGTAACCGCCGCCACTACCATAGCCACCACTACTTCCATAGGCACCAGCATCACCTCCACCATATCCACCACTTCCAGCCCCTCCCCTGCAACATAGAGCCATCAACATATACTTAAGAAACTGTACAGATATTAACCATATCTATTTATGAATTATGTACATATATAGAGTTTTATTTCTTAACCTTGATTAGGTTCTGATAGTATTTTGATATGAATAATGATTTTATCAATTTAATTCCAAGTTCATTTAAACAAATAAGGTAATAGACACTTTAAGAGAGATTTTCAACATTAATGTGGACCATAGCTTTTGTTCTGACGAAGACTATTTGCAAATGTGTTTAATTGAAAGCAAGTTAAATTCTTTATGACATTTTTTTTTTAATGTATAGTCAATTAGTTAAATATTCATGAAAAACGTAAGGAATTTTGATAGCATATTTTGCACCAGTAATAGAAACTTAGGTTTATGGGATCAATAGGTTTTTTTATAAAAATAAAAAACCCAAAATTAATTCACCAGTTTTAAACTAAGAAATAGCAAACCACGTATAAATGAATAAAAAAATCATACATATCTCCTACAGAAAAGTAATAAGAAAATCTTCAAACAAAGCTCTGCCTTGAATTTATTAAAAAAATCAAGTACTAATCAGCTATTGTCACACAATATCACTTGAGGTCCAGGCATCACCCTTATAAGTGTTTTAACAACAAATCTTGCACTCTTTTTAGCCCCATCGCTTCAGATTTTTTTTTCCCATTTAATTTCTAATCTATCAATCTGTCGGAAACAATGAAAATATTTTTCACAAAATCCTACATAAAAAGTGATTTATTAATAGTTTGACTATTTTCGAGAATTACCATTATCAAATAAATGACTTTCAAAATTGAAAAAAGTTTGAATAATTAAAAAATGCTGGCCTGACCCTAGATCAAAACAAAATAGGCTATTTGTAGGAAATAATTTATAAAGTTTTGCCTTCCACAGGAGGTTTTATTCTTATGGTCAGGAATAAGAATCAAAAGAGTTCTTAACTGTGAACATCCCCAAATTCGTGGAAAAATCACTCCTCGCACCCCACAATTGGCATTTTGTATTAATTTTTTAACTTCAAATTCATCGATTGAACAGAAATAATGAAAATACTCCCCATAATATTCTATATAAATTGAGTTCTATTAATAGAAAAATAATTTGTAGATATTTGCTTTCAAACGCCTTATTACAGTAATGTTTAACTAAATACTTAAAACTGTTTTTAACTTTGAAAGTGCCAAGTACAAGCCAAATTATTAATAGAACACATTTTATGTAGAATTTTATATGAGAAATATTTTTGCCTCTATTTATTATTTCAGTTTAATCAATGCATTCAAAAATACATTTAAAAAACTGAGTTTCAAATGAGGGGGTAGGAGGAGAGATTTTTCGGAAGTTAGGGATGTTTCATCCATCAGTGAGGAGGTAACTCTTATTGGTTTTTATTTTCAACCCCTCCCCCCAAAAAAAAATTCTGGTGAAGGGTAAAGCATTATAAATTATTTCTAACAAACAAATGCTCTTTAATGGTCTAAGACGATGCGACTAGTTTGGTGTACACAGCTTATAATCTGTTAATGAATTGAAAACTGTCTTCTACTTGTATATTTACCTTAAATGTCAAATCATTTAATCAAGTTATACAAGTCTAGTTATTGGCAAGAACTCAGTAAAATATTAACTATAAGATCTACTAGCCACAACTTACCAACACAGCTGATCACCACCACCCCAGCGTTAAACTGAGCCCAATAATAAATAACAAAACTGTAAAGCCTACTTAGGGCAAAAGGTGAAAAAATAAATAAATAAAAGGAAGAGACAATAGGGTATTAAACAAACTTACCTATAAGGCACTTGTGTTTGGTAAGAAGACTGTGCTGGAGGATCTCTTTCATAGGATTGATAAGGACTGAAAATAAATAAATAAATAAAACATAAATAAAGCAGTAAGGACAGGAATGGAATAAAAAAACAAAGAAACAAAAAAAAAAAAAAAAAAACTGTTGGAAATACTGAAAACAAATATAATATTCAACTGAAAAAAAAAAAAAATAAATAACAATCCTTACGCTGAATACCCATTGGCGTCAGGATAAGAAGATCCTCCTTCATATCGAGGGCGCTTTCCCATCTGAGGAGGGCCTGATGCAGGCCTCTTTCCTCCTCTATTACCACGGATACTACCTCTATCCATGCGCCCACCTCGAAAATCTCTATCGGCAGATCTTCCACCTGTAAAACAATAACAAGAATAATAAGATAGTGGGAATGACAACCATCAATATATCTAATTTTTACCAGGCATGATACAATCAATATGTTAAAAATGTTAATTGAGATATTATTTTGGAGCTTATATTAGAAATAGAATAAGCTTGACGACTGTTTTTTCCGTTAGACATCAGTATGACTTAATTGCTTTAACTTAAGATGTATGAGTTGCTTTTTACAATAGTGTATAAAACAAAACAAAATATATATAAAATTGAGTTGTGCCCCTTGTGATTTTTAATGCACAATGAAGTTAAAAGAGATCCATACTCATTGAAACTTGCAGCACAACTCGGTTAAAAAATTAAACTACTGAGGTTGCGGTTTCAAAGTTGAACACCATAGATAACATCCAAACTAATATAAATTTAAAGAATGCCAAGACAAATAAAACTAATCTATCCATGTTAAAAAAAATACTAGATTCACCTCAAGTCTATTTATGTAATAAGTTCCTAAAAGCAATATTATTCATCCTTATGAATATTTTGTTTTCCTCTGTTCATCCAACTATCACCCTTCTCTTTAAATAAAATTATTTCTCCATTTTTTCTTGTTGCAAACTTATGTTATTACCGTCTGTTTCCACAGAAGTGGGGGGAGGGGACTTGACACTTTTGAAGTTGTACAAGCCTCAAGCCTCTGGACCTCTTCTGATAAATTAACCTGATTTCGATCATACAAACATTAATAAAGTTTAATATTAACAGTGACTCACCTCCTCTAAAATCTCGGCTGAATCCACCTCTTCCTCGAGGACCTCCTCTACCACCACCTCGTCTGAAATAGCAATTAGAAAACAAATTAATTTATCGATGGTAAAAATACATAAGGAACACTGGGGTACTTACTTAGCCACAGATAACAAATTAATTTATCGATGGTAAAAATAAAAAAGGAACACTGGAGGTATTGCCTTAGCCGCATAGGTTTTCAAGTTGATTCATTGCATTATTGAAAGTGAGAAAAAAGGGAGAGAGGGAGTAATAAGTTAGCTAACATATCAATCCCTCCATTCAATGAAAATCAGCAATTTTTATTAAAGTGTCTTAAAAATGCAGTGTATTCACCCCAGATATGATATCCTTAACTGAATATATAGTCACTGAACACTGGATGTCAATTTAGCACTAAAAATCTTTATATATTATCTCAAAGGTGTTTTTTTTTTTGTTTTCTGACATGCCAAATATTTGTCAATTCTTTATCAAATCTAATGAGCCCTCATTAAATGTTCTAAAAATGAAGTTTATAAAATCACACAGTAGAAGGAATCCCAAAAATAGTCATCCAATCCCCTTGGATATGACCTCAACCTTAACTGAACCGATAGATATGTTGGTTTATTAAGTGATTAATTGAATGAAAGTTACGAGTCAAACTAATTCTCACTAGGATATGCTTGTCTCTTTTGAATGAATAGATGAATGTAGGAGGGAGGTTATACCTATCAACAGTTGTTAACACTCAGTTATATCACACAGCTATGCTGAGCAGACAAAGGTCTCATGATCACATTATAAATGGGATTCTGAGAATAACGAAAAATTGATGAGTTCACAGCATGTTCTTCCTATAATTAGATCATGATTTAAAACTTTGTTGAACTCCCCATCGGTATTTTTTACTCACCTATATATGTAATATATAGTTAGGAAAAGTACTGCGATCTTGAATATTTTCAAATCTGAGTTTTCAATGGAAATATTTGTTTTGAGGTTCTCTGAGTCCAAACAACCAAGTCCCGCAAAATGGTCTCTGGTATGTGAACAGTCCAGCTCAAAAAATAAAAGTCCTATGAAACTGATATTACATATTTCAGATAGGTATATGACTGAAATGTTACAGCAAATTTTCTCAAAAACGGCTTAAACAATTTTGATTAAACTAGGAGTATCATTGTATAATTAGATGGTCTTTAATATCATTGAGGTCTTATCGCCATTGATGTCACTATAAGCCTTCCTTTAAAATGGTTTATTACAAAAAATGAACTCTTTTATTGAAAATAACTATAAAAAATGGCTAAATATGAAGTTTAAAAGAATCGGATAATTGGAAACTGCAGAACAAAAGAAAATTGCTTATCCAGATTGAAAATGAATCTCCAGAACTAATAGCCAAAAGGTATACGTAACGTATAATATATCAGAAAGCAGAGAATTTTAGAAAAAATAGTATCAAATAAATAAAGCTATAGAAAATAACGGAGAGGAATGAAAAATAATAATAATTTAAGAAAACTAACATTATTTAAAGTAATTATTTTTAATACGTAGGAAATTAAATGAAATTTTCTTACTAAATGCAAACTTAAAATTTTTTTTTTAAAATGTAAACTTAAAATTTTTTTTTTTAAGTTTGAAAACAAAAGGATTTAAAATCCACCGAATCAAAACAATGCCATTGTTAAAAATACTATTTCATTATACTTGTGTGAAAGAAGTGAAATATAAAACTATTTGATGGATATGTTTATAATCTTAAATAAATTTATTGTACTTTAATAACTCTGGATATGATATAATATTTAAATAATCAAGCATCTATTGGCTGTTTATTCCAAAAAATCATTATGTAATCTTTTAGAAAATTAAATTAGTGAATAATTTTCCACTAACAATTAGTGACAACTTTTGACCTATCCATGGCAGGCAATGAAAAACTCGTAATTTTATTTTATGAAACTTTACAATGGAAAATAACAGTTTAATAACTTATAGTTCTGAAATCCATAATCATTTATAGGTTAAATGTTCAGATGTACTTTCAAATCTCTCTAGGTATATATATGGGCCTTTTGTTTGACAGGGTGACGAACACAAAGTTCAAAATTCTTTAATATCGATTTTTCTGGTAGCAAAATTTATATCTTTATTCACAGTTCTATATTTCAATACTGTAATCACTTACTCTGAAATCAACTTGTGCAAAAGACTAATTAATCTTTAACTCTGGCATTAATCTCCCAACCTCACCCCATATAACCTATAGGGATTTCAAGGAGAGGAAAAAAAAAACGCTGCAAGTTCTGCTTAATACATACTCTATTAAGGAGCACAAAGGGTAAAAAAAATGAGTGCTTACCAGCCAGATTTATTTATTACAAATAGTATTGGTATGTTTTTCATTTCAAAAGAGCAATGTTTTAAGTCCATTTAGTCTAAATTTCATTCATTAATCCGGTTTGATGTTAAAATAACGACCAGTACAGTTAAAGTCAGTCAAAGGTGGATGAATATATAGACCGTGGTCATTTATAACAGCAAAGTTTACCCCTATAAGGACTATTGACGATATCCACTGTAAGTATTTTCTAATTTGACAAAAATTTAATTAAGATACAAAAAAAATTCCCTGGCTTTCTCAAGTCAGTCGCTACTCTGACGTATGAAAGTTAAACACTATAACACAATCATTTACAATGCTGGATGCTTACCCTTCAAACGGTGGTCTGTCTGATCTTTCATCTCTTGAAAATCTGCTTTCACTTCGACCCATGCTACCTCCCCGGCTACCTCTACTGAAGCCACCACGACCTCTGGATCCACCACCCCTAGAAAAGAACAAATAATATGAAATAAATGAAGATTAAAGAGTTATAGGCCTCTGTTATCTTAATAATAATACAATAACTACTTCACTTATTATAAAAATAACAAACCATAGGCATTAACAAATGATAAATGTGATAATCACATTATTGTGTTAGCAACAGAAACAATCTACCCTACTGTAACTAATTTTGTAAGGGTTCTACAAATAAAACTAATGATTAAGAATATAAAAACATGGTCAAGAAAATTCAACAAATTAACCAAATCAAAACATGAATATAGTCATTCACTATAAGTAAACATTAAGTTAATTAAGAATCAACAAAATGGTACTGACCCTCTGTCGCCAAAACTGCTACCTCTGCCTCTGGAACCACCCCTAGAAGGACCACCTCTGCCTCCTCTTCTTTCCATAATCCTTAAATATTAAAATAACAAATAAATAGTAAACTAGAATCTTTTAATACACAAATCAACTTAAACTGAATTTGACATTTGACATAACCTTAACGTAAGAAAATAAGGTAAAATACAATAGTAGAACAACAATATAAACTAATAATCACTAAATATCAAGTAATTAACATATTTTATTAACAGAGAAAACTGGTAACAGCAATTGCAAATATCTAGCATGGAGGCAAAATCAACGCCAAGCGTCTTAGAATGACATTTTTATAAAAAACATACTAAGAAAGAAACACATCAAGATAAACAGGTAAAATATAATATAATGTAAAACTTAAATAATGTGAATTACAAGTAGGTAGTTACATACTTCAATAATAGTCCGGACAACTATAAACAAATCACAACTGCCGGTCACAACAACACCGATCCCTTGCAAAATGGCTCTACAACGGCGTTACGGAAATGACGCAAATGTACATTTGTTCACTTGATAAGTTGTAATTTTATTTTATATAACTTGTTTAAAGCTCTTTATCTAATAAATAAAAATATAAAAAATAATAATAATCAGCGACATATTATTTTTTTTTCACAAAGGAAGAATTTAAAGAATTCTATATATGTGGAGTTGTATTTATGTTTATTTATGAAAAATAATTACAACAAATTAATCTAAACTAGTCTATTACTATTTTAAAATGATCAGTCATACCTTTTATTTTGTAATTAATTGTGATTACAAATTCAATATCCTTCAGTAAGGGCCAGTTTCTAATCTCAGCACTATGCTCATCAACGGCGTGTTTTCCCTGGGTTCTGCGCGCATCTGATACCATCGATGAGCTCAATGCTTTTAGGGAGGCCTTAATAATTAGTAAGGTTATGTTGATTAAAGGTTATGAATGAGTTTGTCAGGCGAAAACGCTTGATTATGATAACAGAGATAATGACATGTTAATTATGTAACATAGCCTTAATAAGCTGATTTGTCTTAGTGTGAAGCTTCATTTCGTTTAGGTGCCTGTGTCGTTAAGATGTTCAAAAATATTGTTGCTATTGTTACCGGTGGTGCTTCTGGTTTAGGGAAAGCTACAGTAGAAAGGATTTGTAAGAATGGTGGAAAAGTGGTTGTGTGTGATTTACCCACTTCTCAGGGTAAGAAACTGGCAGATGAGTTAGGTTCTGGTGCTGTATTTGCACCAGTTAATGTGACTTCTGAAAGTGATGTGTCTAATGCTCTGAATGTTGCTAAAGAAAAGTTTGGGAAATTGAATTGTGTTGTTAACTGTGCTGGAGTTGGAATAGCTTATAAAACTTATAATTTTAACAAGAATGTTCCTCATAAACTAGAAGATTTTACTAAAATTCTTATGGTAAACACAGTTGGAACATTTAATGTTATTCGTCTTTCAGCAGGTCTCATTGGTGAGAACAGTCCTGATGAAGATGGTGGTAGAGGTGTCATTGTCAATACTGCAAGTGTAGCTGCTTATGATGGGCAAATTGGCCAAGTGGCTTATGCTGCAAGTAAAGCTGCTATTGTAGGAATGACGTTACCTCTTGCTAGAGATTTAGCATCACAGGGAATTAGGGTTGTCACCATAGCGCCAGGGTTATTCGATACTCCTTTACTCTCTTCTTTGCCAGAAAAAGTTAGAAATTTTTTAGCCAAATCGATTCCTTATCCCCAACGGCTGGGTAAACCTGAGGAGTATGCCTTACTCGTGCAATCGATTATAGAGAATCCTGTTATGAATGGTGAGGTCATTCGTTTAGATGGTGCTATAAGAATGCAGCCTTAAAGTTTGTTTAAAATAATTTGGAATTGGTCAGAATGTTGGAATATGGCCTAATGTTGGTACTCTTAGATGTATATATTTTTATTTTAAGGTAAATTGTTTTTTAGTAACATCGATGTTACATATAGGTTCTGATCTTAATCATTGCAAATACTTCTATTATTAAAGACTACAAAGGTTTATATTGCAATTGTTTGTACGGTGTAAATAAAATTAGTATGAATAATTATTTCTAGAGATTGTTACAATAAGGTTTGTTTTATATCCATGTAACTTATTGTTTCATTATTTTATGTCAATATCTAAGTGTATACAACGTTATTGAATAATCCATTTTATTGTTATTTAAGCAGGCATAGATTTTTTTAATAAATTAATAAAGAAATTCAAGTTATCATTCATTTGACTTTAATATATTATGTAAAAAGGTATATAATTGTTGATGTACAAGATTTCCTTGAGTCCCAATTTATCTATTATTTAGTTAGTTATATTCAACATTATTTATTGTCCTTGTCTGATTTAGTTTCTGGTCTATCTCTCAGTGAGGCTTTTAAAATTACAACATAAAAGTTGAGAAATAAAAATAGTAACTACTTTAGTGGCAGTTGATCTTTTATTGAACAAAACTTATTTCATCATTGTTATTTTACTTTTTTGTCTACTAATATTTTATCTTCCAAGATTGTATTTGTTGTTGCTTAAAAAATTATTTTATCCTGTCATCTTTTTCTTTGTTACTGAAGATTAATATTATGTGAGGAGTTGGTCAAGGGGTGCGGTCAAATAAATACTAAATTTTCAAAATAGTATTTTAATCGTTATGCCTGTAGGTTTTTTAAAAATTTAGTATTTATTTGACCGCAACCCCCCGACCAACTCCGCATATTATATCAGGGTCAACCATCTCTACATCATTGTTAATATTGTAGTTTTATTTTATTTTGTATGATTATTTTTGCACAAATACATTATAATATAATAAATATAAGACAAGTTTCTATCCACAGTGTTAAGCACATCAATGGCATTGGATCTTTCACTAAACTGAGGAAAATAATGCTATGAGCTAAATGCTGAGTTTAAGAACTTATAAATTAAAGTTTAATGTCAGGTGAAAAAGAGATGAAAGATATGCAATCAAGTAATATGTATTTGAAAATGGAAAAATAATACCAATTCATCAAAATAAATAAAGTGTTTGGCAACCTGAATGTTACAATCAGAATTTCAAATCATCAGAAAAATTAAATTGTATAATCGTAACTATTGCAACAAGGACAAGCAGTAATGGCCATCCAACAATAATACAGTTCCTTGCTTACTTTACTCATTATTTTTTGTCCTACCGTGTAAAATTAAAATCCCCCCAGGAGATATTTCACTATGCGAAAAATGGTCTGTTTATTATCATGAATATGTCATAATCACCAACAATAAGGTCAATATACACATTATATAATCAATGTTATTATAAATTAGTAACAAACTAACCAAGAGACAGAACATAAAAGTTAGGCCATAATTGGAAAAATTCTAAACCACAGCTTTATGTCTCAAAAATGCATTCAAAGAAGATATCCCCTTGACGTTTTGCTAATTCAGGCATCATCAGGACAGAAAAAGAACAGCTAATCGAATATCACTCCATTAATATGTGATTGGATTTCTCGGAGTGATGTTAGATTAGCTGTTATTTTTTTGTTCTGATGATGCCTGAATTGGTGAAACGACAGTTTTTTTTCTTTGCTGCATTTAGGAGACAAAGCTATTTGGTTTGGAATTTTTCCGAATTATAATCTAACATTTATGTTCAGTCTCTTGGTTAGTTTGTTACTAATTTATATTAATATGGTAATATTAAAAATTCCTGAGTAATTACGATTTTGTTCAAAATTAAATATGTATATATATATATTTATTCAGTAAAATATTTGTTATTGTTTGTTACATTATTAATCAGGGTTATAATAATAATAAACATAAAATATGCATTAAAATATAGTATTTGACAATTGTATAAATAATTTATATATTAAAATAATATAACATCATTTTTAAAATATTATAATATATGCACATGAAATGAATATATTTGAATACCTCTGATTATTTATTAAAATAAAAAATGGATTAATTATAAATCACATTTATTGGATTTAATAACCATTATTTCTGACTGTTCAGATCAAATGAAAGTATTCAAATACCGTTGAGTGATTGAGGAGTAGTTTTTGTTATTAATATACAGCAATGAGACACCCAAGTATAAAAAAAAAAAAAGGATTTGGTCCTTGCATTTTATATGTTGTATTTTGAATTGTTGATAACTTATGCTAATCTCAAAAAGAAAAATGAACTAATTCTAATTTTATTAAAATATATGAATACTTTTCAATAACAGGTTGATTACAGGGTCAATATGTATTTTCAAGCACAAAAGATATGTTCACCATGCGCAACTAGGGATGATATTGTGGAATACTTGAGGACTTGTTTGAGGAACAGCCAGAGATCTTTCCTGAGAAGGCGATCTTTGAACTAAGCATGTAAAATAAAGAGAAGTTGAACTATAGCTTAGAAATATCTTCATGCTAGGAGACTTATTATTTAAAAATAATTGAGAAAAAAAGAATTTGTGTGATTTTTACTTCACTTAACAATGTATGAAATATATACCAAAAAACAGTATTTTGATCGTGAAAATTTTCTGAGATGTTACAGCAACAGTTTTCGTCAAAATCGGATAATGGGAAGTGGCACTTTATATCTTCGATGAAACACATTTTTACTATTTTCTCAAGAACGTCTACAACAATTTTGATTAAATTCATTATATCATAGATTCATTATATTATAGAGTAAAATTATGCAGTTTTTAATATGATGATATATTATTATAACAGGGCTTAAATGGCTAAGTTTCAATGTTAGTTTCCTCCTAAGTACCTTTAATTTTTTTTATTTGTAACAATTAACCATTTCACAATGATCTCTAAAATAAAAAATAGTTTTTTTTTTTTTAACTTTTATTATGATATTTACAACTGTATTAGTATGAATACATCAAGTAAATGTGTACATAGGAATATTATCACATGAAACACGCTAAAAAAATAAAAAATAAATAATAGTTTAATATAAAATATGAAAGAATTTGATAAATAGCTAAAGGAGAAATATGAGATTGAAACAGAGAATAGTTGCAATGAAGGAACCAAAGGGATACCAGTTGGCCTGAAGATTAGAACACGCTTCCATACATAACATGAGCATAATAAAATACGGACTCCGACAATATTATGTGCATGGTTGGTTTTCCTACATGTTTTTGTTGGTTGTTTACTTTCAATGAAAGTGAACATTCTTAAATGTTTACTCTCAATGAAAGTGAACATTCTTAAATATTTACTCTCAATGAAAGTGAACATTCTTAAATGTTTACTTTCACTTCCCCTTTATCTGAAAATACTCATATTTGATAAGAAGAGGGTGGTAAGTGAAAGTTGTGTGATGCGCGTACTGCACTAGTTTTTTTTACTATGTTTTAGTATATATTTATTTATACATTATTTTTGCTTTTTTTTTTTACTTGAAGTATAAGTATTGTAAATAATATATAATGTATATGGAAAAACCTACTCATTACTGTAATTTGAAGATCTGAAAAGCAATACAAATATCTAGCTATCTAAAAAACAAGATTTAGTTATGGCCTTGCATTTTATATCTTATTACTATCTTCATGTCTGAAATAATAATATTGGATTGTTGATAACTTAGGAAGATCTCAATGAAAATATTGCAGTAATTCTAATTTTATTAAAATTTATAAATATATTTTATACACATTATAACACTTCAGAACATTATTCCCATTTTCTGATGTGAAGTGTAAATTTTTGATCATTAATAATTTGAAAATTTCCGAATTTATGTTATGTACTGCTTTTCCTCATGCTTATCAGATCTCTTAGCTAATTTATTTTTTAAAATCTGATTGTTATGCCAATCTGTTGATTATTAATAAATGTAATTGATAGGTGAGGATTCATAAATTTGGAAAACAAAATTCAGATTTCAAGCTATACACTTTATTCTGGTAAAGTTATAACGTATGGAAGAATAACTAAGTAATTTTGAGTTTATATCTAAAATAATTACTGAAAGATAATAAAATAATTACATTTGACATGTATGTTTATGGTAGAGGCATAAGACTAGCTATACATTGATTTTACTTGTATTGGGTTTGTTCTTTTATTCTAAAAAGTAAGTATTTTCCAAGAGATTTTAGTTCCCCTATGCTTTTATAGGATTATGGGATTATCAAGTTTCCTTTTGAATTAGTTTAATGAACAAAATCTGGCTTACATTCATTACTGTGGATTAGGAACACAACTTTTTTAAAGGTCCAAATGATGAGGATTAAAAAAAAGATTAGGCTTTTCATTACCTTTGTCTTTAAAACTAAAATGTTTCATATGAGAGGTCTGCAGGAAAAATCAGGTACAGTTGGTTTAGCGCAGGCAAGGTGAAATGTCGACGAGACGATGGACAGCAGGTCGTCGTCATCAACTCACCATCAGATTTAGAAACGTTTGCTTGACATGCATATACATGTTACAACACTTTGAACAATTTTGTTTTTACTTTTTTATATCCCCAGTTTTATGTTTATGTTGCGTTTGTTTTAATAATAGACTATGATAATAATTTCATTTTTGTTTATGAGAATATTTTAGGTCTGATCTGTCCAGAAACTCTAATTTGTGTATTTTTTTTCTTTTGCACAATAGGAATATGCTTTTCGTTAACTAAATTTTATATTTTTTGTTTACCATCCTTATTAATATCTAGGAGATCTTGCACACAATTGGCTCTAGCTGCTGTAGAAATATTCCTATCCTTAACTCCTTCTGTCCGTTTACCAAGCCACCCCTCCTTCTTCCATGACTAATATCCTTCTAACCTGCCACGTCAACGCTCAGTCACTCTTAGCC